AAAATGACCCCAACAGTTTTTTCGATATGCGCAGAAGGTGTGTGCGACTGTGCTTCATGGTACCTATAATACCTGAGGCAATTTCGACCTCAAATTAATGTTTTTACAAAAAAATTAATTGAATAAAGATTTTCAAAATTAGAAATTGTTAGATTTAAATATATTTTTGTGACGTCACAATTTTTACCCCCCCCCCTCCCCCTGTCACAAAGTGTTACAAATTCTTGACCCCCCTCCCCCCCTTGAGCGTTACGTAATTTGCAAACGATCCCTAAGTCTTGCAGATACAACTTAATTTCTATGATTAGTGGAAACTAGAAAAATGAAAGTGCAACCAAGAAATCGGAAACAATATGATGAACNAAAAAAAAAAAAAAAAAAAAAAATAAGTTTTCAACTATAAAGAGTTGCCATTCGAGTTCATTACGTAGTGACGTTCAAACATGTTAGCATCGGGCCAGACCCCATGGCGCCTGAATCATTAGGACGTTATGGTGTAGCACGAGCCGTGCCTTGAGATCCGACCTGGGAGTGATCGCTGTGAAAATATGTATGATTGTATGTCGTGAAACAATTCCAGTCAGGCTGTATTAGATCGAAATATGGTTAGCTTGTCAATAGCTTTGGGGGTCGATTTCTCTGATTAAACAGGCTAATAATCTCTTGTGGGGGGGAATATAGACTTCCGTATTGATACAGGAATTGTTTCCCGTTGATGTGCATTTCATAAAAATTGTATGGGATTTACATATCAACCAGCTACAATGTTAAAATTTGTAAAAAAAAAAAAAAGAAATTTTTCAGAGAGAGACAATTTAAAAAAATAAATCTCTATTAAAGAAGCTTGATATTATTATTATTATTATTACAGTGGTCTTATATAGCTCAGTATATATGTGAGCTAATGCAAAGATATTTTCAATGCACAGTCTTTTTCTCCCCAGTCATTCTCTCCCCAGTCTTTCTCTCCACAGTCTTTCTCTCCCCAGTCATTCTCTACCCAGTCATTCTCTCCCCAGTCTTTCTCTCCGCAGTCTTTTTTCTACAGTCTTTTTCTTCTACATTCTTTCTCTCCAGTCTTTC